AACTGTGGGGTCCTGGGTGCTCTCTGAGCTGGGTGGTTTCCTTGCAGACGTTTCATGACCAAACTAGGTAACGTTGTCAGTGCTAGGAGGGAGGGGGGTTTGCAGTGCAGGAAAGGAGGAGGAGGAGGAGGAGGAAGAGGAGGAGGAGGAAGGGGAGGAGGAGGAGGAGGAAGAGGAGGAGGAGGACTGTGGGTTCCTGGGTGCTCTCTGAGCCTGGTTGTTTCCTTGCAGACCTTTTATGACCAAACTAGGTAACACCATCAGGGCTAGGAGGCAGTGGGGTTTGTGGAGAGGAGGAGGAGGAGGAGGGGGGAATCCTTGGTCCTCTCTGAGCTGGGTCGTTTCCTTGCAGACGTTTCATGACCAAACTAGGGAACACCATCAGGGCTAGGAGGGAGTGGGGTTTGTGGAGAGGAGGAGGGGGGGAAAAATCCTTGGTCCTCTCTGAGCTGGGTCGTCCTTGCCAGCCTTTCACGACCCAAACCAGCTAACCTCCTCCCGTCATCGGAACGCAACCCCCGTGTGTCCGATGCAGGGAAGCAAGGAGGACACCCCCTCTGAATCGCTCGGGGCAGCTCCTTCCTCCTGGCCCTTCGCCCACCCAGGCAGGGACCCCCGTCTCACCCTCTGCCCTCTCTCTCCTCCTGCAGCCCGGGAGCAGCTCCGCCGGTCCAGGCACAGCCGGACTTTCCTGATGGAGTCTGGGGTGGGCGAACTGTGGTCGGAAATGCAGACAGGTAGGGGGGGGTCTCCGGGGAAGGCTGGCTGGGGAGGCTGGGCACGGGAGTCCCAAAGCGTCCGACTGGCCCAGGGGCTCGAAAGCCAGAGAGTGGATCGCTGGCAGAGAAGGCGCCCCCAGGAAGGGGCAGGAAGAGGAAGGGAAGAGGGGATTGGGGAGGGGGGGCTCAATATGACCACTACCCTATTTGCTTTCTGGACTCCCCACCCCATGCAGGTCCTCCTTGACTTACGGCCAACCACTGGGGGCCCAAATTTTCCGCCACTAAGCGAGACCGTCACTAAGTGAGTTTTGCCCCCCCTTTTTCCACGGCCTCTCTTGCGAATCGCCACCGTTGTGACGTTAAAGTTTGACACACGGCCGTTAAGTTTGAATCCGGCTCCCCCACCGCGGTTGGAAGGTGGCAAAAGGGGATCACGTGACCCCGGGAGTCTGCAACCGTCCTAGGTACATGCCAGTTGCCGAGCCTCTGGGTTTCGATCATGTGACCACGGAGGAGAGGGCCACGGTCGTAAGTGTGGAAAACGGTCATAAGTTCACTTTTACCAGCGCCGTTGCAACTTTGGTCGCTAAAAGAACGGCCGTGAGACAAGGACTCCCTGCATGTACAACCCCTTCAGCCCAGTGCTGGAGACGATTAGACTCGGTCTGCCATATCCAGAGTGCTCCAGACTGGAGGAGGCATTCTTCTCCTCCTCCTCCTCTTCCTCCTCCTCCTTCTTCCTCTCCTCCTCCTCCTCCTCTTCCTCCTCCTCCTTCTTCCTCTCCTTCTCCTCCTCCTCCTCCTCCTCCTCCTCCTTCTCCTCCTCCTCTTCCTCCTCCTTCTCCTCCTCCTGCTCCTTCTTCCTCTCCTTCTCCTCCTTCTCCTCTTCCTCTTCCTCCTTCTTCCTCTCCTCCTCCTCCTCCTCCTCCTCCTCTTCCTCCTCTTCCTCCTCGTCCTTCTCCTCCTCCTCCTTCTTCCTCCTCCTCCTCCTCTTCCTCCTTCTTCCTCTCCTTCTCTTCCTCCTCTTCCTCCTCTTCCTCCTCTTCCTCCTCCTCCTCCTCTTCTCCTCCTTCTCCTCCTCCTCCTCCTCCTCCTCCTCTTCTTCCTCCTCCTCCTCCTCTTCCTCCCTCACCACTCCTTTCTAGCACTGATGATGTTCCCTAGTTGAGTCATGAAACGTCTGCAAGGAAACCACCCAGCTCAGAGAGCACCTGGGACTCCACAGTCATCG